ATTAATTCATTTCCCCATTCACCGTTTCTCCCAAGTTCTTGCGGAATCTCATACTTCCCAAGGTTCTTGTAGAAACCATTTATGGTACAATGAACAGTAATTCATAACTTGAACATTTCACAACAATATATACGTGTATCTCAACCATGAGGTAAGACATCCACATGAATCGATGCATTGAGTAACATCTAGCCCACACACACACCTAAATCTTCTCAAAGATATCCAACCTTTAGGAAGGGCGTATATCATACCAATGACAGTGACGTATCCAACCCAGGCATTAGTATACTAACCCTCAGCCTCGATACCCGTGAGCAATAGCTGTTTAGTCTTACCAAAGCACTAACCCCACTACGAGTGGTAGAAAAAGTTCAAACATACACGAAGTATGAATAACATCTACCCTCTCTATGATATCTCATCAAAGGCAACCCATGGTCATCCCACACTCATAAGAGATACAATACCAAACTCAATTTCTCAATTTACAAGCATATCACAAAATCCCCAATTTATCATGTTAAAATTTCAATAACCAATTAAGAAAAATACAAGAGATCACAACAACATCATTTTATTACTCAACACAAAGCACTATAGTTTCGAAATCAATAATAAAGGAAGGATTTAAGAAGAAAATCCAACACTCTCCAAAAAACTAGGGTTTTAAAGCAAGAAAATAGATTTCATGGGTATTCCTAACTTTGTTCAAAACATGTAATCTTTGCAAGAAGACCAAGAAAAGATGATTTCATAGCAAATATATATATAATTTAGAGTCAAAGAATACATATATATTAGCCCTAGCATCAATGGACAAGAATGGAAGAAAACCCCTACCTTGATGTTCTTGGAGAAGCTAGGTTTGATCTTTAATCCCCTTTATAACTCTTGTTCTCCCCTTCTTTCTTCCTCTCTAAGTCTTTCTAGTAGGGTTCTAAGAGGTGTGGAGTGAGAGTGGTGTGAAAAAATGGGAGTAAATGTGGTGAAATTGGGGTTTTAAAAGCAGAAAATCCTGACTTTTTAACTATCTACCGATAGTTCGTATCGAGCTACCGGTAGTTCAGATACACTGGCAACCTGCTACATGTTGAGCTACCGGTTGTTCGGAACTACTGGACATTTACTAACTGTTGACTACCGGTAGTTCGGATCCACTCGCCACTGACTACCTGTTGACTACTGGTAGTTCGGATCTATTGGACATTTGCTACCTGTTGACTATCGATAGTTTGGATCCACTGGACAGAGTACTACCGGTAGGTCCTGTCCAAATTTGCCTATTTCCTCTATTTTTCATTTCAATCCCATTCCAAACCCTTCCAAATCCAACCCAAGCTTATTCAACATGCTTTTGTACATCAAACCTAGTTGGTACAAGTTCTATTACAACGATTTCATATATTTGCAAGCTAAACTAAGTTTTAACTACTATTTCCTCGAATTTCCATATTAACATTTCCAAAAGAAATAATAACTTGCTACATAGACCTACATACATATATAAAGATAAAAGGGTGGGGTTTACAGTCCAAAAGGAAAGCACCAGTGTTGAAGAGATTCTTAAGGTTGGTATGTAGTGGTATTGTATTAGATATACCCATGGAATATTTTTGCACATTTAAAGTTTCTACCGTTTACCAGATTTCAGACTCAAGTGCCTATTTGCCACAGGTAATTGTGGACTATCTAGAAATTGACGAAATCACTGCCGTTGATGGAGCATCAATACTAACATACATTTTTTATGCTTCTCTAGATATGAGGTATAATAGTGTAATCTAGACAAGTTTGAAAATGTGTGTTATACATAATACAGTAATATAATTGTGTTGTCAGACAGTGAGGTCTTGGTTAAATTCAGTCACGAGTTTGCAACCAAAAAGTCAATGATGACTTTATGCCCTTTCCAATGGATTTGTGCTGAGGTGAGTTACATTGAATATTCATGTTTTTACATTATTAAATATGGTAAATAACTCCATATTAATTGTAAAGATAATAAATCTTGGTGCATACATTACTATTCAAGGGAGGAAGACAAATTCGTTAAATCTGAAGACTAGATGCTTTCTGCCCACATACTTTTCGGTAATGCATCCAACCCTTGTTAATGGCATTATCATGATTTTAAATGGAACAACCATAAATTGAGTGATGTTAGGACTAATATTTGTGAATATATTCAGCAACAAGCAATTGGAAGAGTATTGTACAATGCAGGTGTTCAATGCACAAATGATTCATTTCTTAACCTGTTTGATTACATAAAGCAATTTGAAGATTATGACAAGGTTCTTCATATACACCTTACTTTAAAAATTTTATATATATAAATTCTTTGCTTCAATTGCATCTACTATTTTCATTTAATGTCACTGGGTCATTGAATTTTTTAATGCAGATTTTTATTCCCATGAATGACAACAATCTACATTGGTACTTATGCATGATCGATGTAGTTGAGCGTGAATTTGTATTGCTTGACTCTATGCCATTAACGGACAGCGACCGTCAACTAATCAACGTCAAGAAGGTGGTTGTGTATCTTGATTGTTTACTTCAGTGTATTGATTGTTTGTACAAGCCAATTCTCCACACATTCCCTTTGGTAGAAGCTGCATGGGCTCCAAGACAAGAGAATGGACACGACTGCGGTATGTTTGTTATTAAATTCATGGAGGAACCTTTGTTAGGTCCTAACTGGATTGTAAAGGTAATACAACAGATGGACATCTTCGTTGCACTAAGTTCACCAATTTTCTTATTTCATACACTAACAATATTATTGTTGTCAGGATGATTCCAATGATATGCGCAGGAAGCTAGCTATTCAACTGGTCATCCACAGTGAAAACAGATTAAGAAACCAAGTTGTTTCCAAGGCACGTATGCGATTAGCTGATGGTGGAAAAATGATGTCATATGCTTGATTTAGTCATTTAGATTAAGCATTTGGCTGTTATTTTGTTTTTTGGATTTTGTAATTGCTGCATCTGTTATATTGGATATATATATCCAGTATAACACCTACAGTGTATACATATATATGTACATACACCAATATATTTATATGAATCTGGATTTTGCTATATTACACTCACATGTTTACTCTAAGGTTCTTATAGGGTTAGACATATGAAGTACATGAACAAAAAGTGCATTTCCATTCCAGTTGTGCCAACACACATCAAAACCCAACACAAGAACATGACTTTTCGGTATTCACAACACCCCCACATTATCTATTACACCATCTTTACCCACTGCTATGCAACACTCACAAGACAGTATGCAATGAAAAATATCCATGATAAAAAAAGTGCAAACTTTAACTTTTTGGCCAGCTTTGTGGCTCTTTCTTCTTATGTCTGATGCCTTTTTAGTGATCGCAATAGTCCGGGAATTACATGTTTCGATCGGTCGCACATTGGAGGATCATACCATTGGAAAAAATTGCACCCACCTGCCTCCTGCATGTCGTTATGTTGGTTAACTTTATGATGTATTTGCAAAAAATAAAAATTAAAAAAAATTAAGGCAGAATTAATTTTTCACAATATTAGTATCTTACCCCATATCTCTCACAACCAATAAACCTCCTACCTGGGTTGGAATTTGTCCATAAGGTCCTCAATATTCCCATTCTCCTACAGTTTTATTCTTGAAAGTCCATACTCCTATAATCTTATAATAGAGGGGTGTAAAGTGATTTATTTGACCCTTTCAGATGAGGGTTACTGTCTCACTGTTTATTGACATATATAATAAGCTTCTTCCTGATGGCAGGAACATTTTCCTCCACTTTTGTGGACTGCATATGCTGGTGAATTGTCCAAAATCTCCCTGTCTCCTTTTATTGCTGGTTAGTCTCCAAAAATCTCCCTTGAGATTTGATAAGCATCACGTGAGAATGGACATGGTCTGCTTCAAATGTACAGTTTACAAAATGTGTGGTTATTAATTTTTGGTCATTAAATATTACTCAAAAAATTTGATAATTTTGCAAGGTAACCTTAATGTTGTAAAAATATTTTTTTGTAATCAGTAAATTTAATGTATTTTTTTTTATTAAACAATGGATTGTAAGAACTATATATATGACATAAATTATTAATTGAGGAATTGACCCTTTCCAACTCCCTTTACTTGCCTATTCACATACAAGTTCCTTTGATTGGCTAAGAGAGAGAGAGCCTAACTTTGGGGGAAAAAAACTATATTACTATAGTCGGAAATCAAAATTAGTAATTAGAATCAATATAAGAAATACATTTTTTTTAACAAAGTGACATTTTAATGATCTCCTGAAAGAGTTACACAAGTTTGGGAAGCAAAGAACCTCTTAACCATAACAAAAAGTTTACATAAATAAGGAATTGAAAAACCAAAAAATTTGTCTTCCTCAAATCTGGAAGACCTTGCTGATTTTGCATCCACAGAAGCTTTGCATAACTAGGAAGAGGAAAAAGGCAGTAGATAAATCTGTTGAAATTCTACTTTGAAACACATTTATTGTTAAAACATCAGCTACACCTTTTACTTCCTTGTACACATGATCAATTTGGAAATCAAGTCTGCTCAAAATCCTATGTATATATTTTAGAACAGTCCAAAATTTCCAAGAGCAAATCACTTTACCCAACATCATATTTACCAAAACATGAGAGCCTCACTCAATCAAAATTATATACACCTCCAACCCATACCTCTATAATTGTTAGTCCATCTAGTAAAGCCATACCTCTCAAAATTTCCAATAAACAACTTAATTTACCAATAAAAAAAATGATTGTATTGTAGTACAGAGAGAAAATGTAGCGGAGGGAGAGACATAATCATGACTCACATTAGCAAAAGCACTAAATTTGGCAGAGTTGGCATGTTTCTGATAGTTGGTTGAGTTGTTTCTCCTAATTGGTGTTGAGTAGCAGGTGTTCATGCCACCTTGGAGTCGGTGTACACATTGTCTCAAAAATATAAAGTTGCTTCCAACTTCATCGTAAGTTTATGTCCAAGAGGTTCAATGACTTGCCAATTATTTCATCTCGCTTAGTATTGTGTGGATTGGTAACAAGCTTTAATGCGAGATCGTTTCTAACATTTGACGACGATGCCTGCATACAATTTTAAGTGTTATAACATGTGCAAAACAGTTTATTTAAGGAAGAAAAATAAAATTTTTTTATACTACACCTTCATTATAGTTTGGCCCAGATGAGGTTGATGGATTATATTGACAACGTGAATTTCACAATCATATCCATTGACCTGTTTGGGTGTCCAACTTGATTGAATCACTGGCCATGTACTGATTACTTTTTCAAATTTTTTGTTAAATAGGCAAATAAGTTCACCCAATGCTGCAACCTACACAGTCATGCAATGCAATAAGTTACACTTGCCAAATCCACCTTCGAATGAGTTGCATGGATCATATTTTGTATTCCAAATTAGATCATACATACCACATCATCCACTTGCTTACGTCGTGCATGCTTCATTGTTCGACTTAGAAGAGTATCTAGTAGGAGGACTTCTTCCTATTGTATGTCCACAACGCATAAGTACCAATGTTTTTGGCCTTTATTAATGGGGACATAGATCTACATAAGCCAATTGCAATTATTACACTAAGTTGATGTACATACTTTGATAGATTATGATTTAGTAATGCAGAATCTGTTGTGAGTTTTTATCTAGTCAAACCTTCGCACACATGTCAATGTCATGGATGTATTGGCCACACATTCTCATGAGTTTGCATTGCAGGATCACACCAGTTTTCCCCCTTAGATGTAAATTGAATGACTGTTTGCTACAATTTAAGGATTTGTGAAATTATAAAGACGTAACTTCTTATTGAACATTAAAACACCAGATGACCATAGTGACTGAAGAAAATCACATAAAACCAAAAATTTATTGTGGAGTATTTCCGCAAACCACGTTAGAATATACCATCTGGCCTTCTGTGTGTCATTGTTCCCCATTTCTGTGTGTGGCATAATGCATGCAGCGACATTGATTAATTGTATACATAATTAAACATATTTAGAATTGCATACATGTATTCAATCGCCAGTTAATTCAAAAGTGGGTATAAAAAAATGGGAAAATTATATAACTCACCTTGCTCTGCAACCACTGTTTGGGTCCCAATGACTTCATTGTCATTCTTGTCGCATGAAATTTTTCAAACTGAACAATTGTCTCACTGTCAAATTACAACATGTAAGGTATGATTTGCATAAGAACTGCAAATAATAAACATCCTGGAATGGTAGTAATTGTGACATACTCTGCATCAAGTCCTTCATGAAAAATGTAGTGCAATATTGCATTTCCTACTTTATCACTAAAATCAGTAATATGGGGAACCAACCCATCAAAAACTTGAAAGTGGAGTGTCTGCCATTGTAGGTCCACGTGCACTAAAAAATTTAATTACTTTAAATTTGTGTGTAAAAAAACCTCATTCGTGCTGTCAGCCCGGACCTCGGTTTCATTGTCATCGAATAATCCTTGGTTCACATTTTACACCACATATAATATACAAAGCAACACACACAAGTACTATGGTAAAGGATAACACAGTAATATAGTGTACTCACGTGGACAGACTCCTTTGTACGTTGTTCTCTCCTAATTTTACACACCTGTTCAGAAAGCGTTTCCAGCATCTTTTTTATTTCAGTTACTTCATCTGTGAACTTGGTAGACACTGCTTCATGGTTGGATCGAAATTCAGACAATGAAACCTCAACCTTAGACAATCTCTTGTCAAAATCCTACATAACACACTGAAGTGGCACTCATGGAAAATATTATTAATATTTATTTTTATTGTTCTACCTCCATATATATCCTATATAAAGGTAACCTGCATGTTTTGCACGTAAGACACGCCAGTTGTCCTCATTTTACTTCTCGCATCAATGACAGGAACACTTACTGAATGTTCAAATTTTGTCCTCTCACTGCGTCCATCATATTGGTCAGCCACTGTCAGTGACTCTTCAACTGTAACCATTAGCTACGATAATCCAAAGATTAGTTAATACCATACGATATATAAGGCATATCTTCCATTATGAATACAACAAACAATAAAATTAGAATTAAAGAGTATAATATCCTTCATAAGTTACTCCTTTTTTTTTTGTAGCCACCCAATTTTTTCAATGCAGTCATGCACTGTCCTATTTCTTTGTCCTCCCAAACTGCCATTCGAGGGAATGGTCATGACAGAAATGGAATGGATGATTCTCCCGCTGGTGTGACACGCTCAAAATAAAAAATCTGCAAATAGTTCAATAACGTTCAAGTAATTACTACAAATGCCATGAATAAGAAAGCTGTACAATGAATTAGCAAATACGTAAATAATGCAGTACCTGTAGCACAATGCTACATTCACAAATATTACGCCTTGATTTTTCCTTGAAATTTTGTATGCCTTCAATAATACCATCATAAACAAATTTTCTCTAGTTTATAGAAGATAATGCATTTACATCCACTATTAATTATCATTTTCATTGTTGGGGAAAGAAAGCGGCCTATTATGAATAGAGCAAATAGGCACCTAAAAGTAAATGAATCATGCTTCAATTCTTTTAGTTTACCAACCACAATATTCAAAGAGAGCTCCCTCTATCCATTAAAAATTGATTTTTGAAGTTCCTCTGTTTGGTCCGAAGAACCAGTATTGTCTAACTCATTGCCTGTGTTTGCCAACCCCAATATGTAATAAACATTTTCAGGGGAGAACTTAATTGATTTACCATGGACATGTAACACACCTGTAGTGGGATAACATTTTTTAACCAACCATTCGCACAAACTCCTCTTGACCGCAGTGCATTTCATGGTGGTAAAACCTTCTAAACCCATTGCCTTAACTACACGTTTCTGAGCGTCAGTTAACCCATTTACAACTTTTATGATACTTGATGGCGAACACCGTGTACCCATTAGTATCTGAATAGACATGTAATGCATCAAACAAAGCTATCAAAACATATAAATTATGTTATAATGCAGAGATAGTCCATGTCAATGGTGTGTTCATATTACATACCCTTCATTTCGTCTTCCTAGTAACACCAAAATTACCACCTTGCGAAGATGCATCGGCTACCATCTTGTTAGTCATACTATTCCCAACATCAACATTCGCGGTTCAAATGTGCATATAACACACAAATTTCTAAAAAAAAAAAATGGAGGCAATTGGTAAGAGAACTGTTTGTAAGAGAATTTAAATAATACAGAGAAATAGAGAGAGATATAGAAAAGAGATACAAAGATGGATAGATAGAGAGATAGATACGAATTGGATTCAAATAATCTCCCTACAACCATATTCTGTTTTACTCAGGTATCTTTTTACCCTTTGGTATTCTTTATTTTCTCTTCTAAGCTAGTGTGTACAATCCCAAAAAGTTACCAATTGGTTTGGGATAAAAATAAAAAATTACCAACTCAAATTCTAGAGCAACATCAAAAATTAAAAAAACTAATAATACAATTTCAAGTCAAAATATTTTATTTTTGGTTATTAACTAGATAAACTACATTAATCTAGAGATATTCCCGATAATAGAAAACTTAATTGAAACGAAAAAAATAGTGTTTAAAAAATGTAATGCATTGTCATAAGACAGCCAAAAAAAAAATTAAGCAAACAAGTAATTAACTACCATGGAATTGTTAAGTACAAATAGAGAGATTGTAAACCAATCCTCTCTCTCTCCCTTTCTATCTGTATATGATCTGTAGATGTTTATAGGTTTTTTTGTAGTCTTAGGCAAAATTTTCTATAACTACTCTGCTAATTTTGAAAGTACGCCAAACACAATAAAGTAGGTCAATTTTCACAAGGAATAATGACGCAACAGATGTGGAGATTACACAACTTTTGTGTTTGTACATACAAATATGCATGTATATATCAAATCTCTAACTCACATTATCAATTAAACAAAACATTGACATAGCCAAAATTCCTCAATTGCTTCCATGGCCCTTCGGGCAGAAATATTAGAGTCGTTGGTATAGAAGTTTAATGCCTCATCTAAAACTAATGAAACACCAAAGGCTCTAATATATCATTGGAAGAACCTAACCACTCCAAAATTTGCAACATACCATTCCTTCTACTTACACTAAAGTATTACATGGAATGGACAATGCTCGTGTGGAAATTGATTTTGGTCAATTGTTTTCTAAGATATTTTGCATCTCGCAAACTTGATCGTCAGATGTCCACTCAACATGGACACTTTTTAGTTGATCAATCAAATTAGGGAATGTAACTAACACAAAAATAAGGTACAATAACTTTGTCTTATGCGATATTATTAAAATCATAGAATCAGTGATAATATCATGAGTCATACACAAAGCTATAGTATACCCCAGCCACGTTTGATTTTCTTTGGTCGATCATGAATGAAAAACCTATAGTATTCCCCATACAAACCACAAACAGTGCAAAAAATCCTCACCATATTCACCCTCAAGTATTGCAGCAACCAAATCTCACCAAATTCACAAGCAAAACACATATAAAGATGGTAAATTTTATCAAAATCCAAATTCATCTCCAAATTCCAAAAATCAACCTAAATTCAACATGCTGAATTATAATTGACTTCCAAAAATTAATGTATGAACAAACCAACACAAATTACTCAAAAAACCAAGTTTTTCGTAAACGAAAACGAACCCAAAACAGCCAGTTGCAAACATATTTGAGAAACCAGTTGCAATTATCTAAACTATTTTGTAACACACCTAAAATGGCTGAGAAGCCCTAGTCGACATCAACATTTACAAATCTGGGTTTAGGTCCAAATTGACACTAGACCCTAAAGGGTGGGGTTTGCGTGGTGATAAGGGGAAAGGATGGGAGGTGATGGCTGTGCTAGTGGTGTGGGGCTGTGGTGATGGCAAATTGCAAAGAGAGAGAGCGAGAGAGCGAGAGAGATATACCTGTGAAAGAGTCCTGCTGTTTCTGAAGTGGGTCTCTGGAATGGGTTGGCGTGGTGGTGGGGAGGGAGGATGAAGGGGTGGTGGTTCTGATAGACGTGTGGGGCTGTGGTGATGGCAGATCACCGTTGTTGGAGTGGGTTGCATGGTGGTGGGGGAGAGAGACTTGGGAGGGGGCAGTGGTGTAGAGAGAGAGAAGGGTTAACAGAGAGATAGAGAGAAATACATAATGCGAGGGGGGGGGGAGAATTAAACAAATGGGAAATGAGTAGCGGGAGTGGGTGGGCGGGAGTTCTGTCTTAATGGAGTTAATTTACAGGAAGAAGTCAAAATTAATTTTGAACCTGCATGAGTTAACCTGATGTGCATCCAACCGGTGTAATAAAAAATTGGTTATGGAGGATCCTAATTTTATGACCTGACTAACCCAACAGATGCATCTTCAATGCCATTAAAGAACTTCATTCAATTAAGAAGTACATATCCCAACTACCCAATAATCTATTTATCATTTTCGTTAAATTACATCCAAAAATTTCCTAAAGAAGTCAACATACCCAAGTTTTGTAAAACACTACAAGTGTAGGAAAGATGCGTATTGGATTCAATTGATCTCCCTATAACTATACATCATTTTATTTAGGTATCAAACCTTTTGTATTAATGTGCATATTATAATTGTGGTATATATGCAATAGTTTGTTTATTAATAAATTATAGAAGTACTATATTGCGGATAATATATGCAATATTGTATTGAGTTAATGATAAGGTATTGTTCATTTTCAGATATAAATTGTGTTAAAATTTAGCAAACATTTTTTAACTCCACCTATTTTTGTAATTCCATAGTTGGACTAATGGCGGGTACGATCGGTGACAAAGGTAAATGTGTACTGATTCGTGAGTAAAATTAACAAATTTTACTATGCCTTTTTGGACTAATTGTGCTTTGATGGAATTTAAGTAATGACATTTCAGGTCCTAAAGTGAACAAAGCCCCAAGAACAAGAAAAATCACACTTGAATGCAACACTAGCACAAAAGGGAACAAAAATGCAAAAGGTTGGAACAAAGCTAGGACGTTCGAACGTCAACCCACGTTCAAATGTCATCTGAAACCCAGCCAAGACTAGCTATTGAGATATGGTGTGTTGCAGTCAACAAAAAAAGAAGAACTAGAAGTACTTGAGTAAAACGTTCGAATGTCACTCCACGTTCGAACGTTGCCTTGAGTGACTAAGGAGTTGCTGAGTGTACAGTCAATGATGTTCAAGGCGTATGGAAGTCACCAAGTCAGAGACCAAGTCAGTGACCACAGGCCACTTGAGTGGAAGAAATCAAACGTGATCTCACGTTCGAACGCCCTCAAAGCAAAGGCAGACTTGGCGTTCGAACGCTAGATCACGTTCAAACGTCCCCTTGTAGACTGCCTGCACAATAGTTGATTCCCATGGGTGGTGAACACTATTCACTCATCCTCACTTATCTCCTACCCCCCTTTCCTTGCTTATAAATACTCCCTTGTTGGGAGCTTAAAAGGCATTCTTCCTCTTGTAGAGAAAGAAAGGAGCAATCTTTATTCTTGTAAAGTAAGAGTGTTTTAGTAATCCAGTTCTTGAACATTTCATGTTTATGCTTTCATTTTTCCATTTATATCAATCATGATGGAGGCTTTAGACTCCCCTTGTAGTTGTACTTACTTTTATTTACAAAGTATCAAGAGAGGTAGTTCATCTTTTGGTTGTGGTGGAAACCATCCAAAAACAACTAGCTTTCCTTTACTTTTATTTTTCCTGTATTTCACTTCCATTGCTTGAGCATCATTCTTTCTTAGAAGAGTGAAATTCTTTCACTTTTCTAGAGCTTTACCAAAGCCGTGAAGGGTGGAAAATGATTCACTAATTCTCCATTGAAGAAAAGCTTTTTGTTTAGTTTGCTTTACTTAATAGCATCTCTACTTAGAGGGATGAGTAGCACTCACTTTTCTAGCTCTGCCAAAGCCATGAAAAGTGAGTAGTTCCTCATTCACTCTTT